AGTGAGGGCTCAAAAAGGATACTTCCTTGGTATTTTGACCGTGGGTAATAGACGTCTTCACATTTGGGGCAATATATCTTAACGGTGCTTGCTCGAGGGATGTCTGATTGACCAACTGGTAAACAAGGTTGGCCACAGCAATAAACTCTTGGGCACCTTCCAAAGTCGTAACTTTTGTATTTTTCTAACTGCAAATATCATTGGTGATGATAATAAGTACACCAACAATTGTTGTTTGTTCTAATATGATTTGTTGAGTAAAAAAAAAAGTTTCTTTACCATAGAAGCCAGCCCTTTGCTTGTCAATATGTATCGAGCATGTATCATTCCATATAGCATCTCTGCCGCTGACTCGATCAACTCATTCTGTTCCTCTGTAAACATCTCACCTGTTACCCGTCAATCCAAATCAAACATTCATGACACAAAACTAAAAAAGTTGTGTCTACTAATTCTGTCATGGGTAAGAGTAAGACTTACCATGAGAAGATTCTACATCCAAAATCAAATCAAGGGCATAGTCGTAGTAAGGAACTTGATGGCTGAGTCCACACAAGTTAAAGTCATCCTGAATATAATCATCGTCAACTTCACAGAAGAACTCGTTCCCACGAAGGTTGCAGAACCAAGAAATCCATGAGGTGTCCTCTCCCTCAGAACCACTCACCTCTGATTCTTCGCTATCTGTGTCTGATATATCCACAGCTAACATAACCACACAAAACATTTCAACATTTCAGCAGCATCATTCTCATAAAACATTTTTCAACCAAATAACAAAAGTTTCCTCGAAACAAAACAAAAAGCTGTGTCTAAGATCAAGTTTCTAACTTTTACACGTTTTAATTTAAAAATGAACAATTGCTTGAGCTCTTCAATAACAATAGGTCGAGATGAGTAACAGAAACATCACGAAGTTAATTCTGTGGCAAACAGAGAAGCTTAGGATAAGAAATTTCTTTATTTTTCAACAATCCTAAGAAAGTTGAATCCCAAATCAAGGGCAAACCCTAAATATGGACTCAAATCGAATTGAACAATTCCCAATTACAATAACATAGAGGAAATATCGATAGAGGCAAAGACGAATCTCACCGTCGGAAATGTTGGTCTTCGAGAGAGAAGTAGAACTTTTCGAATCCCTATTGTTTTGGTCATGCAATTGCTTCCCAATTAAGACGGAGTTCGCTGCTCCTTTCCCTTTTCCGTTGACGGGCTGAGACATCGAATGCGAAGCCCGATTATCGTGAACCTCGTTTATCCGTTTCCGATCGACGACCTCCGACTTCGATCCAACCGTCCCTCTCTCCCTATACATCTCCAGAAATTTCGAATCTCAATAATATAATACAACTTCCGTCACCGGAGATCCACGCCGGTGAAGCCCAAAAACGAGGAGGACGAGTTCTAAGGTCTCGAAACGGAGCTTCTCGTCTCGCGTACAAGTACCTCTTCGTGGTACATACACAGATATTTTTTTTTGTTCTCGCCTAGATATTTTTTTTTCCTGTAGATAAGAACGGAATAAAAGAAGAGAGAAGGGCAAAACGGGAAAGGAGGGATAAAGTTATATTCTCCGGCGATCACC